CCGCCGGGATAAACTCCGATGACATACATGCAAGATAATCCAGCAATGCTTTGCTTAAAGTTTCTACTTTTCGCTCTCATTTTGATCCACTTGCTACCTACTCAACTCGTTGCTCAAAGATCTAAAACTCCATGGCAGACACTCACTGGTACAGTGCTCTCTTTCTTCATCTCCTTTGATTTTTTTTTCCGATTCCTTTCACTATCAATTGATAAAAGAACAAGAAAAATGAGTCTCGGACTCGTGCTTCCGATTCGTAGATGTGCTGTAGAATTTGGGGATTAAACATGGAAAAATCGAAGCTTTTATTGTTGGGTTTTTTTTTTCCCAGAGTTTTATCCATTCAAGGAAAGTTTCCAATTAAAGCATCCACAGATTTTGTTTCTATTTCAGTCTCTGTTTTGCTTAAAATCAGCTTTCTTTGATTACCATTTTTTTTGGTAGGAGATGCTCCTCTTGTCATTGCTCGTGGTGGGTTTTCTGGGTTATTACCAGATTCGAGTCTGGATGCTTACAGTTTTGTATCTCAGACAAGCGTGCCCAATGCTGTTCTGTGGTGTGATGTGCAACTAACCAAGGATGGAACTGGGATTTGCTTCCCTGATTTGACAATGATGAATGCTTCTAATATCCAAGATGCTTACCCTAAACGGAAAAACTCTTACCTTGTTAATGGAGTCCCTACTCAGGACTGGTTCACCATTGATTTCACCTTCAAGGATCTCAGTAGCGTTTTCTGTAAGTTCAAGCTCACTCTCTTTTTGTCTTTTTGCTGATGGAATCTTTGTGAATAGCTACATTTTGATCCAATATGTGTATTTTGATTTTGAGTAGGGAGCAATGTACTTTGTTATATCTTGTTTGCTTGCTGCTGTTCATTCAGTGGTCACTTGATTTTATTTTTCTTACAAATCGTTTTTCAAACTGTGCAGTGATCCGAGGAATATTATCACGGTCTGATGCATTCGACGACAACCGATACACGATTTCAACAGTTCAAGATGTAGCTACGCAGTTGAAACCCGTCGGTTTTTGGTTAAATGTTCAGGTAATTGTTATGTCAGTGCTACTATGTTCCTTTTTTTTTTTGTAGTGAAAGATCTCGGCTTACTCTAACACGGCTGCTCTTTATTCAGTACGACGCTTTCTATGCGCAACACAATCTGAGCATGAGTACCTTTCTGCTATCAGTTTCCAAAACTGTGGCTATTGACTATCTCTCTTCCCCTGAGGTGAATTTCTTTCGCAATATTGGTAGCCGTTTTGGAAAAAAGGGGCCAAAGTTTGTGTTCCGGTTTCTCGAGAAAGATGATGTTGAGGTGTCAACTAACCAAACTTATGGATCTCTCATGAAAAACTTAACTTTCGTCAAGACGTTTGCTTCAGGAGTTCTTGTTCCCAAATCTTACATATGGCCGGTCGATAGCCAATACTTGCTTCCACATACATCATTCGTTCAAGATGCTCACAAAGCAGGATTAGAAGTATATGCATCAGGTTTTGCAAATGATTTCGATATTGCATACAACTACAGTTTTGACCCGTTGGCCGAGTACTTATCCTTCATGGACAACGGGGATTTCTCCGTGGATGGCGTGCTATCTGACTTTCCACTAACTGCATCTTCGGCTGTTGGTAAGCAAATCTCTTTTTCTGTATCACATCTGCATATTGTATATCTTTTTTTAAACATCGGTTGAGAAATCTAAGACCACGCAAGTGAAACCATTTTTCGCTTTTCTTTGAAAGTCTAAACTTTTCTTATTCCTCAGACTGCTTCTCCCATCTTGGAAGTAATGCTTCAACACAAGGTATGTGAGTTATTCATCTTGGCTACATTATTAACGCTATCTCACTATAATTAACGGTATAAATTGTCATCTCCTATATGGTTCCATGTCACAGTGGATTTTCTTGTTATATCCAAAAATGGAGCAAGTGGAGACTACCCTGGCTGCACTGACTTGGCCTATTCAAAGGCTATCAAAGACGGTGCTGATATTATTGATTGCTCTCTTCAAATGTCATCAGACGGGATTCCGTTTTGCTTAAGCTCAATTGATCTTGGAGAGAGCATGAACATTATCCAAAGTCCATTCAGAAACCGTTCAGCAACTGTTCCTGAGATCGGGCCACTTGATGGATTATACAGCTTTAGTCTGTCATGGTCTGAGATTCAGACCTTGAGACGTAAGTTGCCCATACAACCTTCTAAGACTTGTCTTCCTTTTTTGGCATTCTTATTACTCTAGGCATTATTGTGCATGAACACGTATGTTCCTATTGTACTAGATAGACATAGTAAGACTGAGGAGCTCCGAAATGCGTTGTTATGATAACCGAGTTTAGCTGTGTGATGCTTCTTCTTTCAGGGTGTCATTTGCAGCTTATATTTCAAGTTCTAGTTATTTAGAGATTAGTAATAGATGCAAAATATTTTGTCTTACAATTTCATATGGCTCTTACCTGATAATGAAAATGTGATTGGTCTGTTGATATATATGCAGTCTATCTCACAGCCGGTTTATCTGTTAGATGTCATTTAGTAAGCTTTTTTTTTTTTCCCATTCGTTTGCAGCGGCTATTACGAACCCCTACAACAGGGATTTCACCTTGTTTAGGAATCCGAGGGAGAAAAATTCCGGGAAGCTTGTTTCACTTTCTGATTTCCTGAACTTGGCAAAAAACTCCAGCTCTCTCGCTGGTGTTTTGATCAGCGTGGAGGTAGGTTCTACTCTCACTTAAACTAAGCCTTATAAAAAAGTTAGCAGAAAAGAGATGTTGCGCATTACAGATTTTAATGGTTACAACGACGATGTTTTGTTTCCTTCAGAATGCAGCATACCTGAGAGAGAAGCAAGGGCTCGACGTTGTTAAAGCAGTTCTCGATACACTTACAAAAGCTGGTTTCGGCAATGCGACAGCAACAACCACAAAGGTTATGATTCAGTCCACTAACAGCTCAGTTTTAGCTGACTTCAAGAAACAGAGCCGGTACGAGACAGTATACAAAGTTGAAGAAACAATCAGTGATATCCTTAACTCTGCAATCGAAGACATTAAGAAATTCGCTGACGCTGTTGTCATCAGTAAAAAATCAGTCTTCCCCGTCAGCGCAAGCTTCACCACCAGACAAACCAATCTAGTGGAGAGGCTACAGAAGTTTCAGCTTCCGGTTTACGTTGAACTGTTCCGGAACGAGTTTGTTTCTCAACCGTGGGATTTCTTCGCTGATGCAACGGTCGAGATAAACTCGCATGTTACTGGAGCTGGTATCAATGGAACCATCACTGAGTTCCCTCTCACAGCCGCGAGATACAAAAGTAAGTGAAAACCAAAATGTTTTCTGTTTTCGATAACGGTTTTCAAAAATTTTGATTGTTTTTTATGTTCTTTCTTAGGGAACCAATGCTTGACCCGCAAAGACGCGCCTCCTTACATGATCCCGGTTCAGCCCGGTGGCCTCTTAACCATCGTGAGTCCTACTTCTTTACCTCCAGCGGAAGCACCAAACCCGGTTTTCACAGATGCTGATGTCAGTGAACCACCACTACCTCCGGTTATAGCTAGATCCCCAACCGCAAGCCCTGGACCCTTATCAACGGGTGAAGAATCTCCCAACGGACAAACCCGAGTCACTCTGTCTCTTCTTCTTTCTGCGTTCGCTACGATTATCGCCTCTCTTCTCCTAGTGTGGTCACATTGATCCGCCGGTAGGATTTATTTGTTCTGAAAATTTTCCCTCCTCACAGTACTTGGGATTGTTTGCAGTGATGAGTTTCTGTTGGAGTTTTGTTTGTTCATATTCTTCGTTACCTTTTGTGTGGAAGAAAAACAGGTAAATTCTTGGACGTAAATTTGTATCATGGGGGGATTCATTTGTTGTCGTAACATTATTTACTGTAATGTTTTTTAAAACTCTTGTATGCTTTATAGTATTTATGCGACTATATCTTCAGTCTTCTCTGAGTATTACTCGTTTTTTGCGACAGTTTCATAATTTTACTATGGTATCCGGTAGAAATATCCTAGAAACAACAATGTGATAGTTAGCCCTAACAAATACTAAGAATATGATTTATATTATGAAATAAGTGATTATTCATCAAGACCTTGACACTAACACTAAGCTTATCAAGATCATACACAAGTGTCTACTTGCTAAGCTTAAGCTTGACATAAACTTAACACTAATCATGTTTTATCAATATCAAAGTGTCATTTGGTTTAGCTAAATGTCATTTGGTTTGGCTATATGTCATTGTACATGTAACTCCTTGTCTCCTATATATATGTGAAAGAGAAGCAAGTGTAATACATAAGAGAGAGTAAGAAAAACACATTAATAAGAAGAAAAGAATTCCATCTCACTTATAAACTTTTCCTCTTTCTTTCTTGTTGATCAAGAAACACATATATTTATATTTTGTATCTAGATCATAGAAGTAAAACACATTTATTTACCTCCATCATATATAATAGATTTGTATAGTTTGTATAACATTTCATAATAATTTATACATTTTTCCGTATGCAAAAAAGAGCAATCTGATTAGTGTATGATGATGATATCGAGAAACCACCTTGATTCTTCGTCCATGTATACATGTCACATGTGAATCAATGGGTGTGCATGATCACATGACGTACTCATCATGAAACATGCAGAAACTTTTTTTTTGTCGGAAAACATGCAGAAACGTAATCCTACCAATCGCAATAAGACAGTGTCATGTGAGGGATAAAATATAAAACACTTTAGAGTTTTATTACCATTTATCCTAAAAAATTGTAAGAAAAGATTGATCTTAGTCATTTTTAGGTCACCTTTTTCAATATTTTGTATGGTTTTGAAACTATATTTATTTTAAAAACTTTTTATTGAAAAGTTCTCATGTTTAAACTCGTAAGATATGCCTTGAAGCCTCCTTCGCCAATTGATGTTAGATGACTCTCTACTTTTACTAAAATTTTGTTTTTCATCTTTTTTTTGTGTTGATTTTCATAGTTTTAGTTATCTAAGTTGTGTATAATCAATTAAGATGTTAATACAATTTAAAAATATAAAATACATAAAATATTTAAGCAAAAAATGATAGAACTAATGTCGATTTCAGTAATATTGTTTAATAATTGCTTTCAAATTGCTTTAAATTTGCTTCGCCAGTAAAACAAATATAATACCATATCACACTTGAATCGAAATATTATTCTTAACTTTAACAATTCACATTGCATCCAAACTGCACATTTATCACACTATAATCACATCTAAATCACACTACCATTCAGTTAATCAGCTAGTTCGTTGACAATAAATTTTAATTATTGAGCAAAGAAAAGTAATTGGATGATTTCGTAAAGAAATGAAAGTAATGAGAAAATTAAACAAGTTTTATTAATATCATTGCATCTTTATTTTCAGCATTTAACATGTCGTTACAAATACTATCCACATTTTGAATGATAGAGAAAAGTACATAGATGTATGAGAATTACTTAAAAAAATTATTCAAATAAAAGTACATAGATGCATGCTAAATAAAATGTACGACAACATTTAACATATGTTACAAACACCATCCACATGTAGATATGTTAGAAATTCAAGATATAACGGTGATGTACCTGAGATTCTATTTGAGTACGACAACTTACTATTTTCATAACTATGTGTCAGGTTCCTTTCATTATGAACTATGGGTGTCTTTGAGAAGCAAATGAGGAAAGTTGAAGCCGGAAAAGATCATATCTTCTTACAGAGCCATTGATTTCTCTAGAAACATATTTGATGGAGTCATGATTCAGATTCCATTGGCATGTTAAAGTCTCTCAATATGCTGAATTTATCTGGATACAATTTCAAATGCCGTATTACATTATCTTTGGCAAATCTCACATGGACTTGAGTCACTGACCTATCTCGAAACCAAATTTTTTTGGAAGTATTCCACAAGAATTAGCTACCCTCGCGTTCTTGGCTTACACTGACCTATTTATAATCACCTTAGAGGCCAAATAGGTACACAATTTACACTGAAACCTAAATCTCATTTTGAAGAAAAAAATCAATCTTTGTGGTCTTCCTCTTCAAGCAAGTTGATATAGGGAAAATACAACACCACCACATACACTACAACAACATTGAGAGAACTAATATCAATTTTTTGGCTGGAAATCAATGACAGTAGATTTGAAAACTTTTTATTGGAAAGTTCATATGTTAAACTCACCTTAAGTATCTATGAATTTTGGCACAAATTATTATCACATGCAAATAACTTGTCTCGAAATATTTTTTATAACCTGAGTTGGGAGTTCAACTCCAAAATTTACCAACTAGATCTAAACTTGCATCAAGATCCCATATTACTTTAATTTGGGAGAGTTTATTAATTTGTTCAAAGTGAAAGAAATGAAGCACAAATGTATTAGAGATGCTTCATTTGTTATAAATAAATGTATTAGACCAACTACAATGGGCTAGTTGAAAACAATTTTCAACAGTTGAAACCATACAATAGGTATGTTGAAATATCACAAAAAGTGACGTGTATTACTTTGTGTTGAAACTATTCAACATGTTGAAAAAACTAAATTGGGGACCACTTTGAAGAGGTGGCGCAATCTAAGAGGATTAGACAGAGCATGTGTGGTGTACACGTGAGAGCAAGAACGTGAGCTGTTTTGAGAGAAAATGAGATTGACTGC